TGGCAACATCATCAAAGAGTAATTCCAATATAAGTCCTTTTTGGAGACTTCCAGAAACATTAACATTTTTGTTTCTTTGCTAAGAAACAAATACAAAAAAAATTTCAGTATTCTGCAGACAGACAGTACACCTTAAAGCATCTGGTTTTGCTGTACTGGTAAAGACAGAAGTTTTCCATGTCACCATCGCTCAGTTTTTTTCATGAGTATGCACTGAGGTACAAGACTCTTATCATCAATCCTGAAAGAAATCTTATCTTTTATTGTAAAAGCATTCTACTGCTTCATGAGTGCCAAGCCTTGAATCATAGCCTATATAAGAGAATGTCATGAAAAATCTATTATTGTGAAAATTGCCAAATTCATGAAAGCCAAGATTTTCAATCAAGAACTTCTCAAGAGAATCTGTCAAAAAATGAGAGCACCTACAAAGTTCTTAGCTATATATAAGTTCACTGGCTATCAGAAGACACATTTCTACAGCCAGATACTGCTATTCACTAGATTACATATGAACTCTTTTTAAAGACTTGAACTCTTCTACCTTAAAATTGAAAAGTGGAGTTTTACGCTTTTCTTCCTTAACACAGCATTCATGATATAGATCTTGATAAAAGTTATCTCATTAACTTGAAGGCAAAGAAATTGATGTAATTTGAATTTATCTGAAGAACCTTGAGATTTCTTAATACAACCTACTTTTAACATAACAATTTCATTTACTCTTTCATTCATGAGACAGCATTTCTAGCACTTGTATTCATTAAAAACAAAGGAAAAATTGAACATGCTATCAAAAGTGACATTAAAGTTGCAAAGTCAAAGACAATGGCATAGTCCCAAGTAATTTTTAAAAGTGAAATAGCAGCAGCCCTTTCATTAAAAAGTACTATTAAGCAGAACTACAGCTTTAATTTTAATTAATTTGTACTAGATTTATTCATTGCTCTCAAGTAGTAGACACTGATTTCAGTGTGAAGAAAATAAAGACATAACTCTTATAAATATTCTGTTTACATTCTATATTTTAAAAACTAAGTTTCAGTGCAATTGAAAATTATAAGCCAAAGATAAACTTTAAGTACATTATCCAGGATTTTTTTGGTGGGAGAACATTTATAACAGCTTTTACATCAAAATTGTAAAAGATACATAACACAGAGTTTAAGAGTCTTTAGCTTAGGGACCAGCAAGTGGCGTGGTGGTTAAGGTGCTGGACACGCCCACATGGCCGACCATGGTTCAAGTCCCAGACCTGGTGGCTTGCTTTCTCACTCCCACCCTATCTGGTCAAATTAAAATAAAATGAATGAAAGAACAAAATAAATATGTAATTCATGAAAAGAGAGAGAGAGAGTGAGAGACTCGAGCTTAAATCTAGTGTTCTAGTTCCACTTATCTTTTTTACTAAAAAAAAAATTTATGTAATTTCTTTTCTACTGCCAAAATGTCTGCTGCTTATTAACTGTTTTACATTTCAACCACTGCTTCTACTCTGTATTTTCATTTTACCCATTTCTACATGCTTTCTTCTTAGTCTCTTTTCCTTGTGCTGCCTTGTATTCACTCACTTATATATAGAACAGTTTACCTTTTATACCTTTTTTTTTTTTTTTATAAATTTTCGCTGTAGGGAACATGTACTCACTGGAAACAAAGACAGAGGGGAGAAAGTGAGAAAGCACATCCCAGGAGTAAAGGCCTTACCACAATCTCTTCCCCATTCTCCTCCTGGAATTTTCGGCATGCATACACATGTGCCCAGCATGTTTTTCAATCCTCCCCATCTCCAACCCCTGTCCGGGACTCAGAGTGCTGGACACGCCCACATGGCCGACCATGGTTCAAGTCCCAGACCTGGTGGCTTGCTTTCTCACTCCCACCCTATCTGGTCAAATTAAAATAAAATGAATGAAAGAACAAAATAAATATGTAATTCATGAAAAGAGAGAGAGAGAGTGAGAGACTCGAGCTTAAATCTAGTGTTCTAGTTCCACTTATCTTTTTTACTAAAAAAAAAATTTATGTAATTTCTTTTCTACTGCCAAAATGTCTGCTGCTTATTAACTGTTTTACATTTCAACCACTGCTTCTACTCTGTATTTTCATTTTACCCATTTCTACATGCTTTCTTCTTAGTCTCTTTTCCTTGTGCTGCCTTGTATTCACTCACTTATATATAGAACAGTTTACCTTTTATACCTTTTTTTTTTTTTTTATAAATTTTCGCTGTAGGGAACATGTACTCACTGGAAACAAAGACAGAGGGGAGAAAGTGAGAAAGCACATCCCAGGAGTAAAGGCCTTACCACAATCTCTTCCCCATTCTCCTCCTGGAATTTTCGGCATGCATACACATGTGCCCAGCATGTTTTTCAATCCTCCCCATCTCCAACCCCTGTCCGGGACTCAGACCATTCAGTTGGGTATGTAAGATCCAGCTGCCTTAATTAACCTCCACCCCATCTGCTGGCCCTTCTATACATTAATCAGTAAAAGTAATGGTTTTCGTCTAGATCATGATGGGATGAACCTAAGTAAACAACTTCAGATCACCAGCTCCATAATTCAGTCCAATGCTATCATTACAGGATGTACAGGGTATACAAATATAAGGCAATCTATCATAATCTTCAATAGTCACCCAAATCATGCACTAGTACAACATTTAATTTTGAAAACCATCACCAGTAAATAGTTCTTTGACATCCGTTTTTATCATTCAAAAAAGTCATAAAGTCAAATAAAGAGTTGGAAAGAAAGATGAGGAAGGAGTAAAGAACCAGGAATAAATGCAACTACATGGCTGAAAATGACCAATATAATCACCTCTATTTCTGTTTTGAAGTTGAAGAAGAAATTAAATTTACCTGCAAGAGAATCTTCCAGATTATAAAAATTGCTAAAATTAGAATAATTTCTTTTTTTTTAATGTAAAATTGTGATCTTT